TACTAAAGGGAGAGGTGCCCTTTTCCCACTCTTTTGAAAATTGCCCGGGTTTTTAAAGTATCTGTTAGCCACATTCTTTTGGGGACCCCCAAACCTATAAACAAAGCACGCAAAATTTTAAACCTCCTTCATTTCTTCCCCGCTCTCCCCCCCTTTCCTTTCCCCTTTCCTTCTTGTGAGGGAAAACCCCCCTTTTTAATCTGGATTCCCCTCACTGACTTTTTGACAGAAAAATGATTTATCCCCAAAACTCTGATGATGATACTGTTACACTCCCCTCAGTCTCTTGCTACCCTTTTACCCCTGCACAAACCACTGCCCTTTGGCTGTACCCCAAAACCCTCCCAATCACCCCTCTCTTGCTCCCGGATATCCTCACACCCCTTCACCTTCAGCGCTGAAAGGGCCCTTGTGGTTTAGCGCTTTTTTTTTGATTAAATAAGGGAAATTTCTTTTGGGCAATGGTATGAGGCAGAATAAACAAAACCCAACTACAAGATTTAGATTTTGCCCCGAAGTGGTAGTTTATTGTGCCCCCCTTTAACCCTTTCCTGGGACGGTACCCGCGAGAGCATGTGGATATAAAAAAAGGCCTGGGAAATGGGCCCCCAAAGGGTTAAAAAAGGAAAAACATATGGATTTATATTACATATCATAGTTCATTTTATCTTTACAAGCAAATTTGGGAAAATTTTCCCTTGTATCTGGTTTTCTTATTTTAAATTAAAAAGATATTTTGAATGTCACAAGGTTATTAAACTGTTGTCTCTGTATTCCTCAATAATGGAAAATTAAGCACATAGTGTTAAAGAGAGTGAAAAAATGCCTGCACATAATTTACATTTAGTTTGATCTTTCATCTGGTGTCCCCCAAACTGCCAGAAGACTTGAAACCAAAGGGCCAAACCCTGGCCCTAAAAACATCAGTAAGTCTGTTCACATTGCAAGTTGCTCCATAAACAACTTATCTACGTTCATGTTATAAAAGGGGGTTTTTAAAAAGATTACCAGGTTCTAACGCATTCCTATAAAAAAACATCTTCATTTTTTACTTCTCCCCCAAAATATTTTTCCCCTAATGCTAGTCAGTTTCCCAAAAGTTAATTTTTAACGTTCCCCCTTCGGGAAATACTCTTTTTGGGCTACAATCAACTTTATAAAGGGAAGGAGTAACCCAATGTGTGAGGGGACCCTTTACAATTGTACTTTAAACCCCTTTCGGGGCCCAAAGGGCCCAAAAAATCAAAGTAAAGCACCAGTGTCCAAGAAATTTTAAAAAAAAAAAAAAATTATTTTTTCTTACAAAAATTAAAGAGCATATTTTTGTGAAGGTAATAAAAAAAAAAATTTTTTAAAAATTGATCAGTACTTACCGAATACAGTCCCAAAAGAAGTTTGTAGAAAATGAGTGGGGGCGGAAACCCTCGACGAATTCCCATACGGAAATTATATTATTTTGTTGTTTTAAAGTTTTTTTTTTTTTTTTTTCTTTTTTCCAAATTTTTTTTTTCCCAAAACTAACTTTTTGGGGCCCCTAAAGGGGCCAATACTGTAAAAAATTTTATATATATAAAACCCCACGTTTTTGAACCCCAATAACCGCACTAAAGTTTTTTTTTATTAAAATTTTTTTACCACTGTTTTTTTATTAAAATAAACAGACAAATATTGTTTTAATACAAATGTTCTATAAAATTTAACATTTTTAACAACAAGGGAAACAGGTTTTAAACTGCGGGGAGCTTGTGGAACCTTTTTAAACAAGGCCCCTTGCACAGAGGCACCTTAACATTCACCCATAAAACCGAGTGCCCTTTGCGTCTTTGTTGCCGGGCCCGTTTTGTTTTGTGCACAGACAAGCATCTCTTCTGAGCAAAATTTTTTTTTGGAGTTAAAGGGAAAACCCTGTTTTTAAAAAAAGATACCCTTTCCTTCCAAAGTTTGGGGTTTATATTGTGATAAATTTCAGGACCATTTTGTATTGCAGGTGTTTTTAAACCGGGTTTACTTCATTATGAGTTGTTGACAAAAGACAAAAAAAATTCACCAAAACGGTGGCCCTGTTCCCAGTTTTTAAATTTGGTACATATTATATGCATTCAGCATTAAAAAAGGGCCATGAAAATGGAAAAAAATTTTTTCCCATGTCCCAAAGAAAACCTTTTGGGAAACCCCAGTCACAAAACCAATCGGAAAATGCCCACACTTGTCCCCCCAAGCGCATGTTTTGTGTATAATCAATCACTGTCACTGGTTTTCAAATCCGTTCATTAGTCACCGACCCAACTTTGCCACTGTCTTGCTTTCCTTACGGTGAATGGTTGTTTAAAAAATGTGGGCATCTCCCCCCCTTTTTTCAACCAAACCCTAAGCCATGATGTCATTGGCAGTAAACACCTGCACGCATCACCAGAAACCCGCGTTGGAGCCTGGGGGATAAGTTTAAGATTAGAACGGGACTGTTTCCACACACATCTGTCTTTTTCCCCCTTTGCATGAAAACATGAGTAATGGGCCCTTTTGTACCATTTATCGGGAATAATTATGGCCCCTTTCCCAAGGGTAAAAGGGGCCATCATGTTTTACTACGGCACCCGATAAAACCCCAAAAAAACTTTGGTAACTTTCAATGTTTTTCTACCCCTGTAAAAACAATTTTCCAACAAACCCGGCCACTGGGCACAATCACAGAGTACAAACAATTTTATAAACCAAAACGGTTTCTTTCTCGGTATATACTTTCTTTAAAAGACAGTCTACCTTTGAACAAATCAAAGAATCGTCAAAAAAAAAATTCTTGAATGGAAAAAGAAAAACCTGAACTTTTGTTTTAGATACATGAAAAAAATTTTTAATTTTTGTATAAAACCCGTCACTTCTGTCAGGCCCGGTTTTGTCAGAGAAGTGCAACATACGTAAGAGTAAGATAAAACCCGTTCACTGGGATTTTTTCACTGGGAAAGGGTGGGGTTTCCCAAAATTTGCCGTTTTTGTGGACCAGTAAGCTTTTTTTATTAAAGCTTATGACTGAGGGATAAGCATTATTGTTGCAAAAGCAAAATACATTTTTTTGCCCAAAAGGGGTCCTTTCCACCCGTTAGTTTGACTGGGTGATAAGTTTGTATTTGGGCCCTGGGTATGAAAAAACTTTTTACTTTCCCTGACAAAGTTTCCATCAATGGCTGGGGCAAAGAATAATTTTAAAGAAACCAGTTCATTGGCCCCTGGTTTTCCCAAAGGGGAAAAGGTTTGGTTGAATTCCCCCTTTGGAGTTTATCAAAATGGGAGGGGGGGAACAAAATTTTTGGGGTTTTGGGTGCCAATCCCAATACGGGTTTTCTGGTTTGGTAATGGACATCATTTGGCTGGTTTTTAAAGGGTGGTTTGGGGGGGGCGGCTGGGGGGGTGACGCTCCGCTTTGTCCCTTTTAACTGACGAGTCAGCAGCGTGGGTTCCCGCGTGGCACAGCGAGTCAAAGCATGGCGGTGCCACTACCACCACCCCGCCCCCCCTAAAAACCCTCCCCTGATTTTCTGTGGCCCCCTCCAAAGCCCCAAATGTAGCCCCCATCATCCTACTTCACTACCCAAAAAGGGTGTAGGGCCCGGGATGTACTTTCCCGGGGTGTACTACGGGGTGTAAAATTTCCCTCCCCTGGGCATAGCATTGGGTACACTACCCGGGCGGGAAAGCGGCGGCGCACATACCGACGGGTTCACTGGTGAATGTTTTCCCCACTTCACTACTCCCAATGATCGTCGACGCAAAAAAAATCCCCAATCCCCGTCAGAAACATTTGTCATTACTAAGTCAGAGGGCCAGGCCCCGGGGGAAAAAATTAAATTTTCCCTAGTTTAGGAACAACCGGGCCGTGGGGTCACGAGTTGCCCAAAACCAGAGGGAGAAGGTTTGGGGCGTCGGGGGTTTTTTTGCACTATTAACGATATCCCGGGGGCATTATTTTCGGTTTTACTAAATCATCCAAAAACCCTAGAATTCGTCTTCCTTTTCCCCCTTTTCCCTCAGTGTCAGAACTTTCAGACAGGGGAAAAGGAGAGTCCCAATTTTCCGGGGATCAAGGGGGACTTGCGAGAGGGCCCTGGGGAACAAGGGTGACTGAGCCGGGGTTCCCCCAATGCTATGCAGGGCCTAGATTTTTTTTTTATGGCGACACCCCCCCCGGCAGACCCCCTTTCATTCATATGTAGGGCCCAAAAGAGCGCTTTCGCGCTAAAATTTGACGGCGCTAGAAATTTTTGGGGTAGTTTCGGTTTGGACCTCCCCGACCAAACCGTAGATCTACGGGGCGGAACCCCGAAAAGGGGAAAATTTCCCCCGGGCCCTAATTTTTTTAGTATCCCATTTTTCCTGGCTTCCCCCAAAGAGCATGTTGTTTGGGGTCATTATAAGAGCCCAAAAGCCTTCAATGATAACATAGAATTTAGTAAAGATGAAAAGAGTCAAGCTCAGGGGTCATAGGGTTTGCTTTTGCACCTTAGGAATTGCAAACAAAATTTAGTTTGGGGTGTAGGGCCCCCCGTTGTTAATTCTTATGCCTAACTCAACAAATTTAAAAATCGTTTTTTAACTAGGGGGGTGGCAACAAGAGCCCGATTTCGCCCTGCCAAAGACCCCCCTGTTTTGATCCATCATGTTATAACTTGTGAAAGCCCTTATTACTACCACCTAGGTGAGAAATTTCTTCTTGAGCAGTTGCTCTAACAAGAGATTTAAGGAAGGGATTACTAGCAATGAGCTTCTTGGGAGGGACTTGTAGGTATGTGATATTAAATGAACACATCTTCCATGGAGGGGTGAAATGCTCTTGTTGCCTACAGTGATACAGTTCATGCAGGTTATAAAACTTAATGCAATTGCACGTTTTCACAATCCATTTAGATCTGTGTGTATTTACCTCTAGACACTTGGTAAGATTCACTTTGACAGTGTCTGGTTCGTTTCTGAACATTCTAATACCGAGTACAGTGTTAATTTCAACAATCCTATCACTGATACTAGAAATACCAAGCTCCTTCCTCATGTTAAGAACTTTTGTAGATCTGGGACAGCCAAGAATAGTCCTGAGAGCTTCATTTTGCATTAACTCCAAGGGTCGGAGGGAACTTTCTCTAGCTAATATCAACATGGGAGCAGCATAATCAATTAAGGACCTAACATAGGCTATGTACATCATTCTCACGATTCTCACATTAGTACCATAGTTGGGATTGTAGTCAGCAACAGCTTTGAGAGCATTTAGCCTAGCTTTACATTTCTTGTTTAGTTGTGGTATAGTGGATTTGTTTAAAGGGTACATCTACACCAAGATATCTGTAAGTTTTAACGTAGCTAATGATTTCACCCTGCAAATAGATGGGTGGGGGATGTCGTTTGCTTGTTAATATCTTTGTTTTAGAGGAAGATATTATGAGGCCTAGTCGATTACAAATTGCTTGAACTTCATTAAGAATGGTATTCATCTTCTTATGCCCTGTTGTATGGATCATGATATCATCAGCATAGCTTATAGCTATATGTTTAGGTGAGGCAGGTAGAGCATTTAGGAGAGCATTAATCAGAATATTAAATAGCATGGGACTAAAAACTCCTCCCTGCGGTGTACCTAAAGACATTTCTTTAGAATCACTTCTGAAGCCTTGGTAAAGGACAGAGGATACTCTATTTGACAGGTATCCTATTATCCAGCAGAGTAAGCTACCACCAATATTTATTTTGGCTAGTTCATGTAGTATAACGGTTCTGTTTGCAATATCAAATGCAGATTTTAGATCAAGAAAAGTGGTAAAACAAGTAGAGGTGTGTGCAGTGAGAACCACTACAAAAATTGAGAGAATGATATTTTTCAATAGTTATATAAATAGGATCTATGGTTGTAAGGAGAAAAAAGATCATGAGCTTGGTTAGCATTCTGGATCGTGATGATGCATGCACATAGAGTGTAAGGGAAAGGAATGGTGTGCCTGTCTTTTCTGGGTAGAATGAGAAGGAAGCAAAGGAGTATCATCGGGTAATGGTCTTGGGCATTTAAGTGTGGGACTGGAGGAGTCCCAACGTGGGACAGGCAGGCGATCCAAAAATTGCTGCCCCATACAGGGAGAAGCCAGAAGTATGGTCAAAGAAGTGTGGTGGTCAGTTGAATCAAAGGACTCAGGTGGAGCCCCGGTATCTGGAGCGGGTGACGAAATGGCACCAGCAAGAGGTACAGGGGCATGAGAAATGTCGGAAGAGTGGACAAATAATGAGGAAAGGTCAGAAGAGGGTGCAGTATCAGGAAAGGGCCCAATGGGAGCAGGTTCATGGTTTGGGGACTCCATGGTTATGTCACTTCTTTCTTTTTGTTTTTTAGAAAAAAAAAAAGAGGGAACGTGGAGGAATAGCTCCTAGGAGGAAAGAAAGGGCCGTAAATCCCCCTCTGTGCCCAAGAAGACCTCAGCACTGCAAGTAGTGCAGATGCAGCATGGAACCCATGCCATATGCTACCCTTCATGCCAGTAAATCAGCACTCCTGGGATAGCAACCTCACATCCACAGAGCTGCCTTGGTGGACAAAAGAGAGAGTGGCCAGACACCTGCCACAGAGCATACCTCCTTTGGCCACTACCCCCAGAATCCGAAAGGCAGCCTCCAGAGATACACTTGTTGCCCAAAAGATACCTAATGCCACCCCCCCCCCCCTGGAGACCAGAGGGGGATTGGGACATCCCCAGGTGATCCAAATTCCATGACAAACTACACTACCGCCAAGGACCTCAACAGAATTGGATGGACCATAGTACCCTTTCCCCTACCAGAATGCCTATGGGGAGAATCCCAAAGGCTGAAAACTGGAAGGGGATAGGGAAGGGGGATTGGGGGTAATGAGGTTCAGTCTGAGGAAGGAGACCAAAAGGTCTAATTCCTCAAGCCAAAAGCCTGTTCACCATGCCAAGGAGCCCCCCCCCCTTTCCTTGAAGAGGTCACCGAAGACAAGAATGGAATGGGAAGGATAACAATAAATTTTCCTTCTGCCTAGGAGCTGAAAATCGCAAAGGAGACGCATCCCTGAAGAAGGAGGGTGAATGTTGAGAGAGCACAAAGCCAGCATCAAAACAACCTTCCTTGTAGGAGATTTTTCGACTGAATGAAATGTATCAGATTTGATCTAACTGAAAAGTTTTTTGACACTCAGAAAACTGACATGATTTTTCTTGTGAGTGAATGCTTGAGATGCTGAATTACGTAAGGAATGAATTTTGAAAGACAAGTTTTTTAGGCATTCTAAACACATATATTTCATTAACCATGAACACTCATGTGTCGTATTAGGTGTGACTTTCTTGAAAAATCTTTTAAACACTTTGAACACTTGTATGGTTTTTCTTTTGTATGAACTCTCATGTGTTGAATTAGATATGATTTTTGTGAAAACCCTTTTAGGCATTCAGAACACTGATATGGTTTCTCTTGTGTATGAATTCTCATGTGTTTAATCAGATGTGTTTTTTGTGAAAAATCTTTTAGACATTCTGCACAGTGATAAGGTTTTTCTTGTGTATGAACTCTCATGTGCTGTATTAGAGTTGATCTAACTGAAAAGTCTTTAAGACACTCAGAACACTTGTATGGTTTTTCTTGAGTATGAATTCTCGTATGTTTCATTAGAGATGATTTTTGAGAAAAGCCTTTCAGACACTCTGAACACCAAAATGGTTTTTCTTGTGAGTGAACTCTCATGTGTTTTATTAAATTTGAGTTTTGTGAAAATTCTTTTAGACACTCTGAACACTGAAATGGTTTTTCTTGTGAGTGAACTCTCATGTGTTCTATTAGATGTGAGTTTTGTGAAAAGTCTTTTAGACACTCTGAACATCGATATGGTTTTTCTTGTGTATGAACTCTCATGTGTTTTATTAGATTTGAGCTTTGTGAAAAGTCTTTTAGACATTCTGAACACTGATATGGTTTTTCTTGTGAATGAACACTCATGTGTTTTATTAGATATGAGTTTTGTGAGAACTTTTTCAGACACTCTGAACAATGGTATGGTTTTTCTTGTGTATGAACACTCATGTGTCGTATTAGATGCGAGTTTTGTTTAAAGTCTTTTAAACACTCTGAACACTGATACGGCTTTTCTTGTGTATGAATTCTTATGTGTTGCATTAGAGTTGATTTCTGTGAAAAGCCTTTAGGACACTTTGAACAGTGATATGGTTTTTCTTGTGTATGAACTCTCATGTGTCGAACTAGAGTTGATTTTTGGGAAAATTCTTTAGGACACTTTGAACACTGATAAGGCTTTTCTTGTGTATGAATTCTCATGTGTCGTATCAGAGTTGATTTATGTGAAAAGTCTTTCAGACATTCTGAACACTGAAATGTTTTTTCTGGTGTATGAATTCTCATGTGCTGAATTAAATGTGATTTTTTAGAAAAGTCTTTTTTACATTCTGAACACTTGTGTGTTTTCTTTCCTAAAGAAGCTCTCATTTTTTGCATTATGTTACTCATTTGAAATCTTTTAGTTTTACAGAAGAGTTTTTTTTTTTCTGCTCAATAAACTTATTCAAATTACATGTTTTCCCCGAAAATTTGATAAAGAATATTTTTTAAGAACAATAATTAAAAACCCCAAAAATAAATCTCATTTTTATCTTTTAAATTTATTTAAATGCTATCTTGTATCCCTAGAAACTTTAAATAAACATATACGTATTTCCCTAACATACATTGATATGAAAGTGCGGGTGTTTTTTGGCAATGAGTGGGGCGAACGCACTTGTTGCAAAAAAATGATTTAAAGATCACACTTGTTGAAAAGGATCAAGTTATACCCGGGATTTGTTTAAAATTTTGTGTAACATAAGTATAAATACAAAGCTGAAGAAATTTTTACTTCAAATTCTGATTCTTCTACTTTTTTTTAAATAAATTTTTGAAAAGGAAAAAATTCTTTCAAAAATTTTCATTGCAAAAAAATACTATTTCCATTATGACTACAACTACAAACAGCATCAACAGGTGGTAAATATTAACACTACAGCATCAATTTTTTGGGGTAAATTTAACAGCAACAGCATCAAAAAGGTTTGATATATTAGCAGCATACAGCATCAACATGGGGTTTTACAAATTACAGCAACAGCATCAAAAATGTGTGTACAATTAGAAAGCAAACAGAAATCAACAGGGTTGTTACATATTACACATACAGCATCAAAAAGGGGTGTACATATTAGCAGCTACAGATAAAAGGGTGGTACATATTACCCGCATACAGCAAAAACCCATGTATGTATAATTAAAAAGCATACAGCCCCAACATGTGGTAAATTTTAACAGCAACATTATAAACATGTGTGCACATATTAACAGCACACAGCTTAAACATTTTTAAACACATTTTAAACCAGCAAAAGGGCATAAAAACATGTGTTTACAAAATTAGCAGCATACAGCATCAACAGTTTTGTATATTTTAAAAGGGCACACAGCTTTCAACGTGTGTAAAAATAACAGCACAAAAGCATCATTTTTTAATATTAACAGCAAAAACAGAAATCAACGTGTGTAAAATTTTAAACCCCCACCCCAGCATAAACATGTGTAAAAAATTAACAGCAACAGCAAAAACTTTGGTTTATATTTAAAACCGCACACAGCATCAACTTGTGAATATTTTAAGACCCACACAGCATCAAATGGTATATATTAACAGCACACAGCATCGGGTTTAAAATTTAAACACCACAGAAAACGTGGGTAAATTTTAAACCCAGCACACAGCATCAACGGTTAAAAAAAAACCCAGCACACAGCATCGTGTGTATATTTTAACCCAGCACACAGCATCAAACGTTTGTATATATTAACAGCACACACATAACTGTGTATTTTATAAACAGCAAAACAGCATCGTTTTATATATTAAAAAACAAACAGCATCAACGTTTGAAAATTAAAAAAAACCCAGCACACAGAAATAAACTTTGGGGTATAAATTAAAGCACCCAGCATCGTTTTGTAAAAATTAACAGCACACAGCATAAACCATGTTGTATAATTAACACATACAGAAAATCAACCAAAGTGTATATATTAACAACAGTACATATAATCAACATCCCAAACAAAATTAACTGGGGAACAAGCACAAAATAAAGAAACCCTGTAAATAAGTATTTTCAAATTGTTTAATAAAATATCTTGCCTATCTCTTAAATAAGATAAAAAAGGCATCTCTCTGTTTAAGAAAAGAAGGAAAAAAACGTGTGAAGTAAAATACAAAACCAATATTTTGGGCCTAAAAGTAAATGTTTGAAGAAAAGGAAAAATAATAAAGATATACAATATCCCGCCAAAAAGTCAAAAAAAAATTTCCAAACAGACTGTCACAAATTTCTACATGATATAACTTAACCCCAATTTCAGTTGGCCTTAAATTTTTGTAAATTTTTAAAAAAAAAAAAAATTTTTTTTAAAGTAATATTCAAAACTTCAATGTTATTTTAATTTAAAAAAAAGTAAATTAGAGCACAATATAAAAGGTTGTTTTAGAGAGTTTGGGTGTTTAAAATTTCATGTACAAATAATTTTTATCAATGTTAATACGGGGTTTTGGTTTGGGGTAATGTTAATACCATGTTTCTTTACTGTATAATTTCTGAAATTTTTATAATAAATTAAGAATACGGTTTTGGATGTTAATTTTAGATTACATAAAATTTCCCGTAAAAGGAAAATTAATCCCCTGGGTTTTTTTAGAATCAGATGTAATTGGGAAATAATTGCAAAATAATGAGGTGAAACTTTATGAAACAAAAAGTCAAAAATCCCTGACATATTTTTTTCAATATGGCCAAAATTACACATTTTCTGAATTTATCCTCCACTAACATCAGTTTCATTGAACTGGATGTTGGGCCCGCAAGAGGGAAATTTTTCCCGGGTTTTGATGCTATCTGCAAATTCCCAAAGGATAATTTAATTTGCATTAGGGTAGGTACTTTAATTTTCAATAAAAATACTAGAAATATCTTTACTATGATCAGGACAATTTGACCAAAAATTATTTTCACAAGGGGGGGGGGGGGGCTCTGAAAACCGATTAAACATTAAACAAATTTAAACAGACTTTTTTTTTTTTCCAGAAATTATTTTTTTATACATAAACTGTCAATATGGTGAAACCCTTTATATAATGAACTTCCCGAAAAAATAGACCCAAAACTGATAAAAAATTGAAAAAAGCAATTCTTTTTTTTTTTTTTTTAATTTTTTTCAATACTTTTCAGTACGGGGTAATTAAATTTATGCTACAAAAATTTGGTATACAGCAAGTTTCTATAGTGTTTTTTTTTGCTATTTTATTATTTTTATGATTTAACAAATTCTCCCCGCAGGGATGTTAAAACCCGGGGGGTTGAAGCAGGGGGTTTGAGAGCAGGGGGGTTGAAGCAGGGGGGTTTTTGAGCAGGGGGTTGAAGGGAGGGGTGTTGAAGCAGGGGGTTTTAGAGCAGGGATGTTAAGCAGGGGGTTGAGGCAGGGGGGGGTTTAAGCAGGGGGGGGTTGGAGCAGGGGTGTTTTAAGGCAGGGGGGTTTAGACAGGGGGGTTGAGAGCAGGGGGGTTGAGAGCAGGGGTGTTTAGAGCAGGGTTTTGAGAACAGGGTTTTGAGAGCAGGGGTTGAGAGCAGGGGGTGTTTTTAAACAGGGGTGTTTTGAGGGGCAGGGGGTTTTTGAGAGCAGGGGGGTTTTTGAGCAGGGGGGTTAGAGAGGGGTGTTAGGGGTAGGGATTTGGATAGCCGGGTGTTTTAAGCAGGATGTTTTAAGCAGGGTGTTTTTAGCAGGGGGGTTAGAGCAGGGTTTTTGAAGCAGGGGTGTTTTTAAAAGCAGGGGGGTTTAGAGCAGGATGGGTTGAAGCAGGGGTTTTTGAGAGCAAGGGGGTTGGGGAGCAGGGGGTTGAGGCAGGAAAGTTGAAGGGCAGGGGTGTTTTAGAGCAGGGGGGTTGGAGGGGTGGGGAAGCAGGGGTGTTGGACAGGGGTGTTGAGAGAGAGGTTTTGAAAGCAGGGGGTTGAGAGCAAGGGGGGTTTTAGAGCAAGGGGGGTTTAAAGCAGGGGTTTGAGAGCAAGGGGGTTTAGAGCAGGGGTTTAGAGCAGGGGGTTTTGAAGCAGGGGGTTTGAAAGCAGGGGTGGTTTAGAGCAGGGGGGTTTAGAGCAGGGGTGTTGAAGGGAGGGTGTTGAGAGCAAGGGTGATTAAGCAGGGATGTTTAGAGCCAAGGGGTGTTGAGAGCAGGGATGTTTTAAGCGAGGTGTTGAGGGGGCAGGGGTGGGAGCAGGGTGTTTTAAGAGTGGGAGTGTTGAGAGTGGGGGTTTTGAGAGCGGGGGTGTTGAGAGCGGGGGTGTTGAGAGCGGGTGTGTTGAGAGCAGGTGTGTTGAGAGCAGGAGTTTACCTGGAGAGGATTTCAGGGGTCAATGCCCCCGCTGCCCGGTCCGAAACCAGGCCTCATGGTGGATCAGGGTCTGATCAACCAGGCTGTTACTGCTAGCTGCATGCAAACTGATGTACGAACCACAGCCCGGTTGGTCAGGTACTGACTTTAGGTGCCTGTCCAGTGCCTTCTTGAAGACAGCCAGGGGTCTATTGGTAATCCCCCTTACGTACACTGGGAGGCAGTTGAACAGCTTTGGGCCCTGGACACTTATTGTGTTGTCTCTCAAAGTACTCATTGCACCCCTGCTTTTCATCGAGGGAATGTTGCATCTCCTGCTAAATCTTTTTGTTTCATAGGGAGTGATTTTCGTGTGCAGGTTTGGTACCAATCCCTCCAGGTTCTTCCAAGTGTATATTATTATGCATCTCTCTCGTCTGCATTCCAAGAAATACAGATCAAGGACCTTCAACCGTTCCCAGTAATTTGGGTGCCTTATCGTATTTATGTGTGCCATGAAAGTTCTTTGTACACTCTCCAGGTCTGCAATGTCTCTAGCCTTGAAAGGGGCCGTTAGTATACAACAGTACTGCAGCCTAGAGAGGACAAGCGATTTGAAGAGGATCATCATGGGCTTGGCATCCCTAGGGGTGTTGAGAGCAGGGGTGTTGATTATTATTATTATAATAAAAAAGAAGCGCTAAGCCACAAGGGCTATAAAGCGCTGCAGGGTAGGGAAGGAAACGAGGGTATTGGGCAGCAGAAGGGAGGAGGGATGATCAGTAGGTTACAGAAAACAGCGGGGCAGGGGATAGTGCAGGGGTAGAGGGTAGCAAGAGATTGAGGTAGAAAGGGCTGAAGGTATCAGAGTTTGTGAAGTAAGTCAGTTGTTGTCAAAAAGTCAATGAGAGAGTCCAGATGAAAGGTGGGTCCATCAGTGAGAAGGGAAGGTAAAGAGAGAGCAGCGGAGTGAAGACGACGACAGAGGTAAATTCTGCGTGCTTGTTGATAAAGTGGGCAGTCTAACAGAATGTGGCTGACTGATAATGGAACCTGATAATTCTCACAGAGAGGAGCAGGGTGC